GGGGAACTATCTCATCCATAACAGTTTTTGTGGATTCAGCTTGTTTAGCAGCTACTTGTGCATATGAAACCCTTGGCGTCTGATTCATCACTTTTCGCTTGGCTTCCGCGTAACTCAAAGATTCTAGAGTTTTTGTTCTTTGGATTAGCATTTCTTCCTTGAATTTAGCGCAATTTCTATACCGGGATGAGTGTTCTGAGCCGCAATTAACACATATCTTGGGCTCTGGGCATGGTCCGGTGTGAGGGGCTATACCGCAAACACAAATTTCATCATTCGGACATGATGTCGATAAGTGCCCATATCGCTGGCACTTAAAACACTGCATGGGGTTCGGCACATATGGGCGGACTTCTAGTGCGTAAAAGGCTGCTTTAATTTTCCGTGGTACTTGGGATCTATTGAATGTTAATATTAGGCTTGACGTCTCAATAAATTTGTCGTCTTTCCTTTTATATATCCGTTTCACCTCGACGACTCCTTCATTTTCAAGTTCCGTTAAGATTTCTTGGATGGAGCAGTTTAATAAATCTGAACATGTGATCACACCTTTGCAAAAGTTTAACGTTCTGTGTGGTTTAACTCTAACAATATGTGGTCCAAGTCGTTCCATTTTCATCAGTCGCTTCGCCTGTGGGTCGGTTGCCGCTTCTAAAATCAATCCTTCTTTCGATTTCTTTATATTTTTTAAATTTCCTACGACTCCTTGCAATTGCTTTGCAATGAGGAAGGGGCTCACTTTACTGAAGTTTTCCCCATCCAACCTTTCCATTACTAGGAACCGAGGGACATGTCCCGCCTTTTCCCAGTTAAACGGATCCTCTCTCCTTGCGGTTTCTCTCCAAGGGGCAGATTCACCTGCTCTTACCGCGTCACATGTTAAGTTGCCCCCCCCAGAATCCGTGGGGCTTTTTATACTACAGGATTCTGAGCTCTCCTGAACTCTACCTGCCTGGGGTACCACTCCTTGTGCGTTGCTTAACATGACCATAATTCCCCTGTGTCGTAGGGGATACACGCCTCTTTAACGTGGAAGACACGGGGCCGTTAGGGACACACTTATGTAGTGCCATCCATCCCTCAGCACGGCCAACACCTTGGGATTACCGGGCGAGTGGGGGGCAAGGAGAGAAGGTATGGAAATGACAAGGATGGGTTATGGGTCTACTCGAGCCGACGTGGGGCTGAGAAAAAGGCCGAGGAGTCGGCATATGCCGCCCCCTCCACCAGTCCCACGCCGACCCGAGTGTAAAAAGGATGAAGGTAGTGGACAGATGGTCGGGCGCCGGCTGTACGGTCTTCGACACTACCGTAGCAACAGGACACCACCAGGCGCAGCGACGCTACGAAGGTGGTAATCCTACGGCATGTTCCAGCAACAATCCTGCTAGGTAACGCACAGGAATGCTACAGGAAGACACCGATAGTTGGCCGGACGGCCATATTTTATATATTATATATTATTATTATATATATTTTATATATATTATTATAATATATATTATTATTATTATATTTATTAATTATATGATTATTTATTATTTATTATTATTTTATTATATTATTATTATTATTTTATATTATTATTATTATTTTATTATATTATATTATTATTATTATATATTTATATATATTATATTATATATTTTATTATTATTATTTTATTATTATTATTATTATTATTATTATTATTATTTATTATTATTATTATATTCTTATTTTATTATTATTATTATTATTTTATTATTATTATTATTATTATTATTATTATTATATTATTATTATTATTATTATATTATTATTATTATTATTATTATTTATTATTATTATTCCGTTTTCTGTTAGCTATTCTCTGCTACTGCAGGTGGTATCCTCAAACGCGGCATTATACTGCAAGCGTCTGAGTGTGACTATTGGTTTCTCTTTGTCTATGTGGCTACATTCAGGACCTTGCGTGCTATATGACAACTACCTAAGATAGCAGCTTTCTGAAGTGAGAGGTATAGTTTCTGCGGCAGATTTAGTTTCTCAATATATTATGTAGACTCTTAGGTATTTCTCCTGTGGCTCCGATCACTATTGGGATGACTTCAACTTTTTCTTGATTCCACAGTGTTTTTACTTCTGCAGCTAGTGGTAAGTACTTGCGAACCTTTTCTGTCTGCTTCTCAGCTATGTTATGTGGGGCAGGCACACTAATGTCAATATGCAGGTAACTTGCTTCATTTTATCTTGAACTTACGATATCTGGTTTGTTGTATTCCATGGTGTGATCTGTTTGAATTGTTCTATTCCAGTATATTTTATGGCCTGTTAGTTTCTATAACTGGAGTCGGCTGGTACTTGTAATATGGGGTGCGGTCAGTTAGTATGTTCGCAGCATAACAAATTTCTTGGTGAACTATTTTAGCCACGTTGTCGTGGCGCTTCAGATACTCAGTGGAAGCTAGGGGAGTGCAGCTCGTCAGGATATGCTCTATTGTTTCCGACTTGTTATGGCATATACGACATCTATCTTCATGCCTTCTTCTTTCATGATGTATTTTCTATAGTTTAAGGTTGGTATCACCTGATCTTGAATGCCAATCATGAAACCTTCAGTTTCCGAAAATAGCTCCCCACTCTTCAGCCATCCATGTGACGCTCTGCATCAATGTGATCTGAGCTGAGCATGGCTGGATGTCTTCCATGAAGCTGTTTGGACTTCCATTGATGATACCATTGTTCGTCGGTGGTCACATGGGTTAGAGGTTCATACTGTTCATCCGACAGGTTCAGTGGTGTGAACTTGTAGTCAGCTGAAGCTATATTTCTGTGATATGCAGATGTTTCGCCCTTTCTATAAAAGAATCTCCTGAGGTTTTCTATATTCCGCAGGTTAGCTGCTTTTAAGGTCAATCACGCCTCGTCCCCCTTTGGATCTTGGCAAGTAGAATCTTTCGATCGAACTCTTGGGATGTCTTGCTCTATGATTTGTAAATAAGACTCTTATGTTTCTGTTTAGCTGCTCTAAGTCAGAGTCTGTCCACTTGATTATTCCGAAGCTATGTTATTGTCGGAATAGCATATGTGTTAATGGCCCTTACTTTGTGTATTGGCGGACAGATGAGTCTTAAGTATTGATTTGACCCTACTCGTTAATCTTTGCTTTAGAGCTTCTTTCATATCTTTGTGTTTGATACCCCTTGCTTGATCTAGTCCCAAATATGTATAGCTCTCTTTCTCAGACATGCTTCTTATTGTCTGACCCTGCTCCAACATAAACCCTGGGTGATCTTCCCATATGCCTTTTCTAATAGCCCCAATCTTACACTTGTCCAGGCCAAACTCCATTCTTGTGTCAGCACTGTATTTCTTTATGGTTTTAAGCAACCTGTCCAGTCCATCCTTAGTGGCAGATATTAGTTTGATGTCATCCATGTAAGCTAGATGGCTTATTTGTAGGTTGTTCTGAAGCTTATAACCTTCGTTCTTCTTGTGCAGCATTCTAGATAGAGGTGCTAATACAATACAGTACCATAAAGCACTTAGTGCATCTCCTGGAAGATACCTCTTTTAATGCTGATGGCACCGATGTTGATATTTTCTTCTTTATGGGTTATTACAAGATTAGTTTTCCATTGAGGCATAAGGTTTTGCAGCAATCTCACTATACTAGGGCTGATTTTATATATTTGGAGCATTTCAATTAATAGAGAGTGAGGAACACTGTCAAAGGCCTTTTTATAGTCAATGTATGCAACATACAGATCTTTCTTACAGCCCTTTGCTTCCTCCGTGATGATTGTATCTATTGTAAGTTGCTCTTTGCAGCCACGACTTCCCTTTTTGCAGCCTTTCTGTTCTTCTGGGAGCAGATGATGCCTTTCAAGGTGCTGGTAAATTTGATCGCATAAAATTGAAGTAATTATTTTATATATGGTTGGAAGACACGTAATTGGCCTGTATTTTGATGGGTCGCTCACAGAAGGGAATGTTTTAGGAAGCAAGTAGGTGTTTCCCGTTGTCAGAAATGCTGGAATGGATTTGGATCTTGCAAGAGGCTTGTGCAAATCATCGCTAACGTTTCGTGTGTGCAAGTGAACTTTTTGAGCCAATAGTTATGGATGCCATCAGGTCCAGGCGCCTTCCAGTTCTGCGTGTTGTTTATAGATCTTTTAACATCCTCCACAGTTATGACGTTGTAGTGCATCATGGGTATTTTTTCGGTTTTCCTCTTTCGTCCGCGAGCCAACTTGTTTTATTATTATGAGTCTTAGGGTTTCCCATAGGTCAGCCCAATATGTTAATGCATCTCTAGCTTCTGGAGTTTTACCCGTAGTACTTACATCTTCGTTTTCCAGTGAGCGATAGAACCTCTTTTGATTCGTTCGAAATATGCTATTTTGTAGTTTTCTTTGATGCGACTCTTTATATCGCTTTAGGCGATTTGCGTATACAGACAACCTTTGTTGGAGCTTATCGAGGATCTGTATCGGATTTTGATTATCCTCATCATGATGTCTCTGGGTTATTGTTGTGACTTTATTTCGCAACCGGTTGGACGGGGCATCTGACTTGATGTACTGAACAAGGGGGCCTATAGCTGCTCGTAGATCTTTTATTTTCCCTTCGATCCTCATCTGCCATCTGGGTTTTTGTTCAGTATGCTTGTATGATTGCTTTATCTTTTGATGGTGCAGTTCAATCACAGTATAAGCGCCGGCATAGATTAGGTCATGATAATCAGTTATACCGGTTATGTCACACAACTTGGTCGTCTGAGATGATTTACTCTAGGCAGAGGAACGTATGCTATCTGTGTCGAATCGAGGCCGTTGGGCTCAGAAAAAGGAGTCGGCTGGAACGGAGAAATCCGGGCAAAACATGTGGCGCGGAGGAGAGAGGAGGAGGATGAGATGATTAAGATGTATTATATTATGATGATGATTAGTATTATTATTATTATTCTTGATTATTATTATTATTAGTCGTATAGATTATTATTATTATTATTCTAGTATGATTATAGTAGGATAGTATTATTTATATTATTATTAGTATTATTATTATATATATTATTATTATTATTATTATTATATTTTATTATAGATTAATTATTATTATTATTATCTTATCTTATTATTATATTATTATCTTATTATTATTATTATTCTTATTATTATTCTTATTATTATTTTATTATTATTATTGCTATGATATAAACGAGCAATTAAATGGAAAAAAGGAGCTTCTATTCCAAAAGAATACTGACAACTAATAATAAAAACAAGACAGTTTGGCAATAGTTAATTCAGAACGTAATCGATTAAAGTCCAATCATATAGAATCCACTGTATCTTCAGATAGCTTCAATAGATATTTTTCCACAGTTTCAAAGAATATAGTATGCTCAATTGACAATGAAAGTGTTGCCCCACTTACATTGCTGAACAAGGTCCGGAAACCATCTATGTCTTTCTTTAGGCTCCAATTGTAGTCTGATGTTGCCGAAGCTATTCTCAAGCTTAGTAACTCTCATTGCTTGGACTACTACAGTTTGAATAGCTCAATGCTGAAAAAGCTGTTGAGTCTCTTGTGAACCACTTTCAGTTCTCTACAATAGTGTATTTCTGAAGGGGTTTGGCCTGACTCGCTCAAGATTTCAAAGATTTTTCCTCTTCATAATCGGGTGATGCGAATGACCCATCTAATTATCGGCCAATAGCCATTGTGCCCATCATAGGGAAAGTTTTTGAAATCCTGCTAAAGGACAAGCTATTATCATATTTCGAAAGAAATTCATTACTGTCCACATGCCAGTATGGATTTCGGAAGGGAAGCTCCACAATCAAAGAGTTACTTGATTTAGTGGAATATGTTGTTGATGGCCTTGATAATCGTCTTAAAACCTTTACTACTGTGTGCGATCTTACTAAGGCCTTTGATTGTGTCAATACTAGCATATTGCTTCTAAAACGGAGTACTACGGTGTACGGGGTACTGAATTAAGTCTGTTCCGATCTTACTTGACTAACCGGAAGCAATATGTTAGTTGCAATGGTTACGAATCTACTCTGCTCCCTGTTGATAACGGAGTTCCCCAGGGCTCGGTGTTGGGTCCCTTTTATCTTAGTATACATAAATGATCTGCCTGCGTCAATAGATCACAGTTTGTGTTTTATGTTCGCAGACGACACGACGTTATCAACAAGGGGTCAGCAGAGTGTTAAGCGTTGATGGCTTGGAACAGGCAAAGAAGTGGTTCTCGGTGAACAAACTGAAACTAAATGACGCCAAAACGTCTTCTATCGTTTCAGCTCTGACAAGTGTCAACCTGCGTCTGATCCTGTCAAACTCCTAGGAGTTAAACTGGATACGGCACTTACTTGGTCACCGCACATTGATCTCGTCTGTTCCAGGTTATCCACGCAAATCTTTGCAATTCGACGGATGAGTGAATATTTGGATAAACGTATTCTAAAAAACAGTTTACTTCAGCCTAATTCACAGCCAGTTGTCGTACGGTGCCCTCCTTTGGGGGAACGCCTTCTGGATCTTTCAGAGCGTTCACACTCCAAAAGGCAGCTGTTCGCATAATTGATGGTTCGAAATACGCACCCATGCCAACCACTTTTTAGGAAACATCGAATTTTACCATTACCAACCATTTTTATATATGAAACGCTTTTACATATCATAAAAACCTCCATAAATTGTAACGCATTCCGATGTTCATGATCATGATACCAGGTCAGCAAATAACCTCAGCGTTCCCTTTTCTAGATTACGTTTGTCCAAATTGAACAGCCGGATGTCACATTATACATTTATTTGTGAACTGTTACGCAGAACATGATGTGAAAAATATGAATTACTACAAATTCAATAGACTATTGAAGAACTTCTCTTAGAAAAGTGTTTTTACGTGTCGATGATTATGTTAATTGGGTAACTATATTTAAATACAAAAATCTGTGACTTCAAATGTACAATAATGTATGTAATGTAGTCATAACTAAACTAAACTAAAAACTAAACTAAACTATTATT